TATTTTCTCTCCCTTTTCTTCCCTCTTCACTAATATTATTCGTGCTATGTATCTTACTAAATAATTTTGCCAATACCTCAGCTTTATCCTCATCTCTAATTATATCAACAATCTCTACTTTTAATACAGGATAATCAAACTCTCTTTTAATACCATTCATTTTTTAAATTACTTTCCATATCTTCTCAGTTTTAGTATCTCTTCCTATTGTACTACAAAAATGTCTCCAATATTCTCTCTTAGCTTTATCCTCATCTCTAATTATATCCACATTCTCTACTTTTAATACAGGATAATCAAACTCTCTTTTAATACCATTCATTTTTTAAATTACTTTCCATATCTTCTCAGTTTTAGTATCTCTTCCTGTTGTCCTACAAAAATTTCTCTAATATTCTCTCTTAGCTTTCTTTATAATCCTCCTTACTGCTGCTTCCTTCCTTTTATAATTAAGTTTATATATATTGGGTTATGTTTAAATACCTTCAAGGCTTATTTCTTAATTTAATTGCTTCCTTACACTCACTTGTCCACCATGGCACCTTTTTCTTATCATCATTACTCCTTGATTTTTTAACAGAACTTTCTGCTGCTTCTGTTATTATTTTTTAAATATTTGCATTTACTTCRTTTAAAATCKACCTTTTCTAAATACATTTCACTCAAATATCTAAACTTACTCCAGTCTGCCTTATTAAAGTTCAATCTCTCCCCACTCTTTTTATACTCATTTCTGATTATTCCTACMCTTATAGTTATAGGATAATGATCACTACTGYAGTTTTATCAACTGACCACTCACAAATACAGATATATATCATTTGATACTGTTGATAAATCAATAGATGATTCCATCCCCGTTCTCATATTGATTCTTCTCTCATTAATACAAACTAAATTTTTCTTTTCCATCACTTCTTCTATAACCTGCCCATTTTTATCATTACTAKTAYCCCACAGTGTACTTTTTGCATTGAAATCCCCACACCAAATTACTCCTCCCTCCAAATAATCTAACATTTCCACCATTATTTCAGACGATAACGATTTACATGGTTTATAAAATTT